TTCCTTATAATGGGTGTGTTCTCCATCTCCGCCTCTTCTTATCAAAACGAGTTTGATATTTATATTAGTTCAATAAACCTTCCATTGATCCACGACGACTTCATAAATTTAAATTCTAGAACTCTTCACTTTATACTAAACATACCCACTGAACAGAGGTTTCTTCGAATAAAATTGTTTATTAATTATAGGATACTCGATCACATAATACAAAAATATTCTTATATTTCAACTGAAACTAGTAGCATATATTTTATGTTTTAAGATTAAAAACTCTTTATGATGTTTATTTAAACATAATAATTCATAAATTCGATTATATTGTTGAATAATAAACTTCGACCGGGTGGTATTTTCTTTTTCGCCAAACAAAAATATTTTTTGAAAGGACCAATCTTGTTGGAAGAACCTTTCAAGACAAGAAGGCATTATCACCTTAAGGTATGTGTGAGCCAGAAAAGCGAACACACAATTGCACCATAGACAAGATGTCGAGGCACAAAGGAAATCCTTACGGAGTGAGAAACTACCATTATTCTAGACTAGTGCAATGCCCGAAGCGAGGAAAGTGCTGAGTGATCAAAGTGCACCAAGTTTCCAGTTAGAAGACCAATTCAGATATGGAATTCTCAATTTTCTGTTATAAGCTCTGGGGTGTAACTTATGAAAGAAGACTTATCCCATTTCAACTTTATTTTAATCAGCATGTTTTTGTCTATATATTAAAAAATACTTACGAATTAGACATCACTTATTTGAAACAAAATTTATTCTCTAGTATATATGTGAAAAAATTCTAAGTATACTTGTATAATTCTTTTATAATCTTTATAATAAAAAGATGTTATATTATATGGGTTATATATAATATAAATAGAAAAAAAATTATAATTTACTGTAAATTCAAAACAAATTAATACAGAAAATATGACATTAAATTAGATTTTTAAAAGTTTTTTTCACTCATATTTTTATAATAAATTTAAAAAAAAACTTTCGCAAGTTTTAATGGAAAATGTAATATTTAAAAAGAATTACTTTCGAACATTTCTTATATTTAATAATAAATTATTACCTGTGTTAGATTTTTTTGCACATTGAAAATATATTATTTTTGTTTCACTAAAGTAAGCATCGATATCGACCCAAAGGCTAGTTGTCTGAATGAAAATGTCCGTATTCGTCTGTCGACTCTTCCACTTTTTCTTTCATCTGAAATTAACTTGGATTAATTGTCTCCACTCTAAGTCCTCAGCTAATATTACTTCTCCATGAAATATTTATCGCATTGTCAGAAAAAGAAAAGGTGGCGTTTATTCATTTTAAATCCTATATGCTTAAGAAGAAGAGGAAAAAATATTCTCTACTGCATATAGATAAGAAAAAATTATTTTCGTAGATTGTAGATCTAATTTTATTATTTAAATAGTTTTTTAACATGCAGTTTATTGCTATACGAAAATAATAAATTAGCATTCATTTATATAAATAAATTTGGCAAAAAGAAAGATGAAATTCTGAATTTTTAACTGAAAAAACTCATTAAATTCTTATCGATAAAAGTTTAAAATAATAACGAACGTTTGATTGAATTAAAAAATAGATAGCCCAAAGAGAGATAAAGAATATTAAAATTAATCTATTTTTGTATTTTCATATCAAGATAAATGGAATAGAAATTCTTTCGGTAACGTTTATCTGGTCTTTAACACAATGGTTTGTTAAATTAAAGCCGTTCGAAGTAAGGATTAAATATAATTTGATAAAATAATGATTAGGTTAGCGGTAACACCTGTCCAAAAGAAAAAGTTTTTATTTTTTTTTATTTTTTGGCAACAAATCATTCGGTGTTAAATCTATGTCGATTTGAAGCAAAATTGATCAAAGACAACTGGTCCGAGACTTAAAATCCGAAAGCGGAACATTTAGGAATTTTTCTGTCGATTTATAAACGGCATCGGTATTTGGAACTATGAACGATAGCTCTTCGACTGCCGTATCTGATTATTAGTGGAATGAAAAGATTTTCCCCGTCTGTTTGTGTTATAGCAGTCGTCAGTTGTGTTGGGCGCAGCAGGCTGTCGCATCGCCTGTTTTTCCCACTTCACGATGTGATAGGTTGGCTGTGATAGCTTGGCTAAATCTGCCCGGGGAAATGGAAAGTGGTAGGTGAAGGGAGATAGCACGAAACCAGTTCTCTCATAAAGCCATATATATCACCAATCATAGATTAGATGGTCCCAGAGCTATGCCTCCTAAGTTTCTGATCATTGCGAGGCGTTTCTCCATTTCTGTTTCTCTCGGTTCTTATTCTTCTCTCGGATCTTGTTTTTTTTTTTTTTTTCTTCTCTTCGGAGAATTTTATGATACTGACTACAAGAAATGAATCCCTATACGGAAATTTTAATGTATTACCTTTGTCTTATTAAAGTGATTTCAGCTTAATTCGTCCTTGCACCGTGGAGATTTTTCACGTTTTAATATTTATAATGCAAACGCTTTGTATTTAGTTAAAGGATTTTCTGCAATTACTGATAAAGTAAGATAAATGGTTATATATCGTGTAATGCCGGGTTCGACTAAAAGGGAATGTGAAGATTTTTGAAACGAATATTTGGATTTCCAGAAAGGAAAAGAAAAAAACTACTTAAAGAGAATAATTCAATTTTCTTCTGCAATTGATAAATTAAGTAACGCTAATTACAATTTCACATATATATTTTTTTGTTTTATATTGAGCAAATAAAACTTTAAAATATATTCCAACTTTACACAATTCGCTACATTTTAAATTGCTTATACCACGTACAGTACACCAAGAGAGTTAAATTTTATATAGAATCGTCTTCTTTGGTTATAAAAGAGAAATGAGTAGGAAAATCGTATTAAATTGTTACAAATGCTCTTCACGGTTTCTTTGTCTTCAAAGGAAAGTTAATTTTTAGGATTTACTCATCCAATTTGGATTAAAATTTTCTTCTTTACGAGCGAAGGAGAGTCGCAAGGAAGGAAAAAAATAAAGATCCAAAGGGATTATTATTCACTAGTATTCTGTACAATAAACTTTTATTGACTTAAGTGATGATTGTAGCAACGTTTCGACATAGCGAATGGGTGTTCAAATATTTACATCACTAAATGGACAGGGACACCATTACGTTGTCATGGACAGAAGCTAAAAAAACAAAAAAAAAAAAAAATGAACGCGGAAACATTCTCTTTTCCAATAATGAAACTCTATTGAAATTATATTTCTCAGTATAAATTTCTATTTTCGGAAAATAAATCTGCTTTTAAAGCCGGAAGTCAGTGAGTCTTGAAATTTATTGTTACACATATTTAAATATATTATCTATTCATTTACATGGAAACGGGTACGATATGGCTTTATTATTCTCAATATCCCCATTGAATTAATCTTATAGGAGAATAGAAATTTCAAACACAAAGTTGATTATTCGAAACGCACTGAAACATAACATTATCGTCCATTAACAAACAAATAATGTAGTTTAGAAATCAGTCACGACAGAATGTCCCTCATATTCTGGCCAATGAATAAGAGAACACGCAATGATGGACATTGCCCGAAACTGGTATAATTGCATTCACACAATGGAAAACCTTATTACGTAATTTAGTACCTTTAAATCAGGTCTACGGAATAAACGTAGTGCACTTGTTTGCATACGCATTTCGCCTCTTCAAAATGGAACCGTATTTGATATCCTAATACAAATAAATCGCCGCTCAACGTTTTCCAAAAATAAACATTTATATACAAATATAGATTCGTAGACATACACGCTGTATAACTTTATGGTTTCGTTTGCGCGACTTTCTCGTCTCGAAATTTCAATATTGAATGAAGGTGTATGCGCTAATATAAATACACGAGGTAAGAATAATATATTTTGGAGTTGTTATCGAAATATATTATAGGTCTAAGTTATCGGTGTAGTGTATGGTCTTCCTCTCTCTAGTTAATCGATAATTGAGAAATTATTCATAGTTATTATTCAATAAAAATAAATTTATACATAAGTTTATATTATCTACTTTATTATACCCATCAATTTTGTAATGCATTATAATAAATTTATAACTTTATTTGTTCTGAGTAAATATTGATAATTATTGTTGCGGAAGCATTAGTATATAAAATAAATATATTCTTAAAAATGTCACATAAAGTTATGATTATATCTCTAATTTTTTAAATGAAACTAACATTTTAATTTTTCTTTATAGTTTCTTAAAATCTACATTTAAAAAATATAAGTAAGTGTTCATTTAAAAGTTATAGGATATTGTTCAGCAATCAAAATTTAGAAGCATTTCATAAACAAATTTTAAGAAATACATTTGATAATAAACGTATTTCATAATATTACTAGAAAATATTTTAATGTAATTCTGCACGCAAAACTAAATAATAACCTTGTAGATTTCCAGTATATTATCTTAGAGAAAATGAATTTTTAAACAGATTAATTCAATTCAAGAATTAGAAGAGTTCATCAAAGAGAATAGAATAGTTATTTAACAAAAGTATTCAAAGATATTATTTAACAAGAAAAAGAAAAGTGGAATATTTTCATTAAATATAAGCCGTTGAATATTTTTATATGTCTTTATTTGTGAACCTTGTGATAACTGATAACATTATCAAGCTTTCAATTAGCGTTTAAAAGTTCTGTCTATGCACATAATTTGCATCTTTACTAATACTTTACAAGTATTGTACGTGTATATATATATATATGTGTGTGTNCTATTACTGTAGAGTATTTGAATTTTTATGAGATATTTATTCATAAATAATTTATGGAATTTTTACTGAATTGTTTCAACTGTGTTCTTGATTATATTTTTATAGGAAGAAAAATTTTAATTTTCTAAAATCAAAAAATGATTTTAAAATATTTATAATTGTAATTTTTTAACTTCTTTTAATAGAAAATATTAAATATTTTTATTTATTAAAAAATATATTAAACATGTATCATATTTTACAGGCTTCTTGTATTCAACAGCCTGTGAGATGTTTGAACATTCATGAATTTCAGAGCAAACAGTTAATGGCAGATAATGGAATTCAAGTTCAGCGTTTTAAAGTAGTTGATTCAATTGAACAAGCGGATCTTATTGCTAATACATTTGGTAAGGTTTTGTCAACATTTAAAACTCAAAAGCTAAGTATAATTTAACTTATTTTAAACGTAAAACTGGTCTGACAGATAAAATATTTCATTCATCACAAAATATAACATTGCGAAACGTGACGCGATAGAAGAATTTTTCAAAAGAGTCGAAATTGGTAAATGAAGAAAGCCCGGAATTGAATTATGATAAGTTTATAGGAATATTTTGTCATGACTACTGATAAAGTACGATGCGCAATTTCGAATTTCAATACTTGCTTCTTATCGTTTCTCTAGAGAACTTCTATTCCGGGTGTACTCTCCTTCGTAGCACAGTCGATTACAATTCTCGAATGGATATGAATACAGTGGAAAAAAAAGCATTTATGTTCTCTTTGATATTATTTTAGGAATGTCAACAGTAGCCAAAACTAACTCGGATTCCTATCAGATGATGGGCAACACGATATACAAACATACAATAGAATTCAGTAACAAACATTATATTAAAAATAAAGTTACATCACGTGTTGTGCAGTTTATCGAACAAATTTATTTAACGTATAGATTCAATGTTAATATCCTGAGGATAATTCGTAGCTTTATTTATATCTTGGTAAATATTTATTTTACTAAATATATTAGAAATAAGAGAAGTAAATTATTGTATAATTTCGTACATGTTAATTAGAAAGTGATGAATGAATGCATTTAAAAGTACAAGTTACAAGGTACCTGTTCGCGTGTTTTGATTAATGAACATTAACAACCTAGTTATTGCCCTGAGTTATTTCCTCACTATAAATGAACGGATGTAATTTAACTCTGCTCATATTGAGAACATCAATATCCTAGACCAGACAATGATATAACTCTTTAGAATCTTTCTTATATCCGATAAATTTTACATTACATACCTATCTACAGAATACATAATTAATATACTAATTATACTACAATATAAACACAATAAATTAAATATGTATGGTACAAGTAGTGCATATTAATTATAATATTGCTAAAATATCTAATAAGGTCTATATTATAATACTCTACACCCTAATAATTATTTAATGTTATTTAAACGCTAAATATACAATTTATAATTGTATGTATTGTCTTAATATAATTAGAAAAATCTGTATATTTATAATATATAGAATTTTTCTATTTATATACCAGTATAATATACCAAAAGTCAAAAAAAATAATGTATAATCAATATTTTTAAAATGCTATTGCATCAGTAATTAAAAACGTAATATTTAATGAATTTCCATGAGATGAACAATAGAAGGAAAAACAAAAAACAGAAGGAAAAGGAAGATTTTAAATTAATTTGTAGCAAAATAAACATGAAGGTTCACTTATATTACGTCATTATAAATTTTAAAAAATATATATATATATAAATTTAATATTTTTCTCATTTTATTTTTTCTAAAACTACTACCTTTTTTTACTTTTTATAAGGTAACTTAATAGGATTTCGTTTCTTTTCAGCCGTAGAAATCCGACGCATTTCCGTGCCAAAGTGGGTTCAGAATGGAACTGATTCTGTGATTTTAGACTGTGAATACGTCTACAACGAGAACGACATCAGACTGGTGGTAAAGTGGTTCTTCAACGATAACTTGGAACCGGTATACCAATGGATACCAGAACTGAACATGCGACATACATCGGGAATACTTCAGGGTCGTTTAGATCTGAATTTCAGCGTGAACACGGTCGACGCTTATTCTCGTTACAGGGCTCTGAAGGTCTTGAATCCAACAACGGAGCTAAGTGGCAAATACACTTGTCTCGTGACATCACTAGCGGGGCAAGACTCCCGGGAACAGAACATGACAGTTTATGGTGAGTTTTGATCAAATTTATATTTCCCTTCTCAGATGTTATGATTTAGTGAGAAAACTTATTATTATACTCGTTGAAAACTTTAACCCAATCTTAAACTTTCTTTAAATTACTTCTTGAAGTAAAAATATCTAACAATAGTTATATACCAAGTTACGATAACGCTGACTATGCAAAGAATAAATAAATAAAAAACGAAAAAAAAGGCAATTTTAAGAAGAAAACGAAAGTATTTATAGCATAAGATGCTATCATTCTTCTAAATATATTTTTCATATTTTAATATGTTAATTTAAACAATATTTCTTAAAAATTTAAAAGGTTTCCTTATCATAAATATTATTACACAAACTGTAATATAATATTTTAATTTAGAAAATACGACATTTAATTAATTTTTGAAGGAACGAATTTTTTATTTATAATTTTATTAAAAATTACTTTACTTTCTTCGTTTTATTATTAAAAAATTAGTTTTTTTCTTTTTTTAAAAAAAATGGATGATCAGACAGAAATAAATTTTAATAAAACTTTTAAGTAATTAAATTGTATTAAATTCTCCAATACGATAGTAGAATATGCATTATTAAACAATACGTAATAAAATTATACAAAATTTAATAAACTAAACTTTAATACTTTTAACTATATTAATACCACTATAATCCATATTATTGTGAATTGATTCTGATTATCATACAGCAGTGAGCCCATCTGCTTGGTTACATATGTTGCGCTAATATATTATAAGCTTATATTGATTATACGTGGTTTATGGTGCTACCTTTATGTAACATTACTGTCTTGTACAAACTCTATTATCGAATTTACATGTCAAAATATGCTGAATTCTGTTTTTCAAAAATTATTGTAATAAACACAGATCAATACTAGAATATATAATTTTTACATTATTAAACTTTAAAAATATTCGACCACTCTGATGATTTTTTAAAATAAAAATTAGACTTTAATATATAAATTTTACTTTTTTTTTAAAGAATAATCTTTGATGTTTCACGTGTGATTAGCTGCGATAGAATAACTAATGTAGTAAGACCTACTTTTTAACAAAATAGAAAAATCATTAATTGTTAAAAAAGATCTTTAGTATTGGTTCTTTTTTTTTAACTTTTAATTCTTAATTTGGAAATAAAAAGGAAAGCAAGACACAAAAGCAAGTCGTGTGGTAAAGAGTAATGGTTGCTGTAAGATCGTTAGTTGCATGTATTAAAATAGTGATGATGTAGAGAGAACTTATAGGTCATCGACTCTAGAGAATAAATTGATGGACTAAAAAGCATTATGCAAAGAAGAAGCCATTACTAGAAACTGTCAAATTTTTGCTTATAACCTATCGAATTTAAATTATGCAAATTATACTCATTATTTAGTAGCTATATAAATGCATTTAATTGAAACTTGTAATCAATTTTGTCTATCGCCTAATTAAAAGTTTTTTTTTTTTTTGTTAATCTTTCGTTTATAATTTATTTTCTACTCTTTTCTGTTGATGTATTCTCTTTAGAGAAGTTTACAATTCGACAGCTATGCTTTTCAATTTTCCTTTATTTTTTTAAAGACTTGACTGTAATACAAAATAGTATAAGATACATAACACGATTTAAAATTTATAAAATATTTTTATATTAAATTTTATTGTGGATACAATTTGCATTTTCATTCTGAAAGCGTTCAAGAGTTACAAAACGATAGAGTTATGAAATATATAACATAAAAAAACGTTAAATTGAGAGATCTCGTACGAAATTATTTTTCGTATTATAAAAAGAAATAATCAAATTACAGCAAAACATCTAAAAGGATACAGAAAAGGGGAATAAAAATAAAATAAGGAGAATATAGCAATACAAAAGAAGTTTTGTCGTTCTCATACAAGTGAGAAAAAATAATAGAAAGTTTGTCGCAAACCTAACAGAATATTCAAAAAGTGTGACGATAAATATTCACACGCTACGAGAGATACTAGATATTACCATTGTTATCCTTGTCCTGCTCTATGTATTGTAGAAGTCTGCAGTTTGGAATAAAAATAAAAAAGGATCATAAATTATTAATGGACATCTTGGCTCGAGTAGACCCATATAAAACAAAAAAGACGGTATAAAAATACACGAAAGCTTATTATATTAGTCACGGCGTATATATGATGGGTTTAAGATAAAGTTAAGTACGCCCTATCTTATCTTTTATTCATAAGACATTAGACAGTAAATTATATTATTATGTCAGAATTACACGAAAATCCAGCATATACTGAGGTTTTAGTGTGAAATTCTCACAAAGTAATTGAAAGATAAAATTATTAACACGCAATTATCTTCTAAGAATACGATTAGAAAACTTTTCTATAAGTGTATATTTATTATTTAAAATAAATGCTTAATTAATAAAGTGTCTTATATTAATGATAATTATGTATAAACATTAAACTCCATAAATTTTTTTAATTGGCATAAATTAAAATTTTTAATTCTTTAAGGGTGAAAGACTTAAGATCATCTTTATCCCTGAAATAATTTTCTATTAAGAATAATGTTATAGCAGTCAGTTAACATGTCCAAAGCTAATTAAACATTATGTAATTTCTTATAAGTCTCTGGGCTTTTTTGTTTCATTATTTTTGCTTTCCAAGACGACTTATTTTATTATCCCAACTAAGATGAATTATACATGTTAACAACAGTAGCAAATAAATATAAATTACACGAGTACTAAGTACATTATGAATAATCTATCCTTTAGTGGGAGCAATTATTTATGATTTAGTTTATAAAATAAAAACTTTGTTGTTTATTTCAAAGTTTTTTTTGATGCAGAATTCATACGGATTAAGGATAAAATATAAATCTGTTTTATGTACGGCATAAATAACAATTAAGTAATATATAAGTACATAATTTATGATGATATCTTTTCTTTTATAAACTAATTTGTTCTAGTTATTAAGAGACTTTATAATTCGATAGTTCAAACAAACCACAAATAAGAAAAAGAATGCAAGAATAAATAATTTTTCACCAGAGAAAATTTATGCAAAGCTGAGATATTTATGAAGGTAAGAAACTAAGAGAAGGTTAAATTAGCTTTATACAAGAAATTGTTTAATGAATATCTTCAGCCTATGGCTAACCAGCGGATGTTTTATTTTATTATTTATCTACACAGCTTTCACTTTCCTTCAGAACAAATAAAACTGAAACTCGGTATTTCCAAATAGAAAGAGAATTATTGATAGAGTAAATTGAATCAGAAGAAAATAAGAGATATAGATTTGTACATCATGTCACTTCATTCCGTATAACTCAGACTTCGATTATTGTAACCTTTAATTATTTACAAATCAGATATAAGAAAATATTAAACTGACAACAAAAAATTTAATTATTTTTCACTCGGCATGACAAACTATTAGTTCGATAGCGTGACGAATACCTATTAAAACCGCGATTATTTTTCGAATTAATTTGCGAAGCCTTAAAATAGAAGAGTTTTGCTGCAGTTTGTTGTTATAACAAATCAATACACCTATTTTCAAATGCATCATTTAAAAATTAATTTTTTAAAAATTATTTATTTAAGCCAATATTAAGTAAATTTATTATTTTTTTTATGAACGTTCTGTAAGTTATTTTTTTCAATAATAAGAAATGATTTCTTTTTTAAATAGAAGAAATCTAAATTTAACTTCTGTTATTTGCTGCATTATTTGGCATTCAGGATAATTTCGAATAGAATGATCAACTACCAATTATTGGAAAATAAAGTATAAAATGTTTTTTCGATGAATTGTGGGTTGAAGAAGAGAAACGAATGATCATTATTTTTTCGTTTTTTTTTTCTCTCTTGAATTTTATTCCAAAGATATCATATTAATTCTTACGAAATGAGACGATGCAATACGAATTTTGAAACGATTTTCCAGTAGTTTTAGATACTACAATTTAATATACAGGTAACCCCCGTATAACACGGTAGTTACGTTCCAAAATTGCCGTGTTATGCGAAACAAAGAACTAGTACGAAAAGGAAGGTTAGGTTCTAAAAATAAAAAAAAAAAATGCTATTATATTTTCATAATTAAGATAAATATCTTTATTAAAATTTTTTTAAGTGATACATATTAATATAAATTAAACAATGTTTTCTTCGTCATCACTAAAAACACTATTAATTAACCGAGAGCGTTTTCTTTTTGGCAAGTTATCCTTATCCTCTGAGCATTTTTCTGCATTATCTTCAGATCCATGCTTTACCTTTTGCAAAATGTATGTAATTTTAGATTGCTTGCTTCTAGTTAAAAGGTCTTTATAAATTTCCTTATATGGTGCTAAGCACTTATGAAGAATAAAGCAAGTATGGAATAAGGGAAAAACATTCGGCAACATCAGAAGCAGAAGCGTCGCGATCTGGCAACATTGAAACAAGTTTCGAGAAGGACCACGTGTATCGACAGAAGGCGAGAAGAGAAAATTTACATACTTAAGTACTAATAGTTCACGAAAATAATAATTTTCGTGAACTATTATTACTTAAGTATGTAAAAATTTATTACATTTCATGTTGTACGAGGGTTTTACCCAATTCTCGAACCGTGTCAGAGTGAATCCGTGCTATAACAGTACCGTGTTATACGGGGGTTACCTGTAAACTACGAAAAAATAATATTAAAATAATTGTTATTCATTATTAAGATAATTTAACTTCTTAAATGTTAAGGAGAAGCCAAACCGAATCAAATAAATACATGCATAAAAGATACTTATTTTTCAAGTATTTAAAAATCTTGTAAGGAACTTGCTAATTATTGAAAGCTTATTCCCTACATACAAGATGTTTCCTTTATATTTTATGGTTAAAAAAAATGATTCTTTTAGAGAGGAAACATTTCATTCTATTATGGGACCTATGCAGTTGCGTATTTTGCTTAATGATTAATCCGATCCTGAGTAGGATTTAGTTCCAGGTTTAGGTTAATT